GAAAAGCTAGAGAGCTGAAATTTTATGGGAATGTTCCCCGTCCAAGTAGGTACTAATGACCTCAAATCCAGCCCCCGGGTAAGCGTGGTACCCGCGTACGAGCCCCCCAAAATTTTTCCCGCCTAAATTCATAACTCGGGGTTCTGAGATGCTAGGAAGCTGAAATTTTACCCCCCAAAATTTTTCCCGCGCAAATTCATAAGTCGGGGTTCTGAGATGCTAGAAGGCTGAAATTTTGGGTGGAATGTTCCCCGTCCAAGCAGGTGCTAATGAGCTCAAATCCAGCCCCCGGGTAAGCGTGGTACCCGCATACGGGCCGCCCCAAAATTTTTCCCGCGTAAATTCATAACTCGGGGTTCTGAGATGCTAGAAACCTGAAATTTTAGGGGAATGTTCCCCATCCAGGCAGGTACTAATGAGCTCAAATCCAGCCCGCAGGTAAGCGTGGTACCCCCTTACGAGCCCTTCAAAATTTTTTCCCCCGCGTAAATTCATAACTCGGGGTTCTGAGAAGCTAGAGAGCTGAAATCTTAGGGGGGTGTTCCCCGTCTAAGTGGGTATTAATGAGTTCAAACCCTGCCCGCGGATAAACGTGGTACTTGCGTACAGGCCCGTGAAAAGTTCCTTCCGAGTAAGTACTTACTCGAGAACGTGAGAAGCTAGAAGACTGGAATTTTGAGGGGATGTTTCCTGACAGTTCTAGCGGCTAGTCTAAAATTCTTTCAGCTAAAAGCATTTGCCGATAAAACCGATGCCGGTAGCGACAAAAACTGCGGGGAAGTCTGCAAAAAACGCATGTTCGCACGGGCAGCCCGTGCATTGGTCAGTTATTGTAACTACCGTGAGCACGTGTTCGGCAATTCAGAGGCGTAAGCGTGGACAGGAAGGGACAATCACTCCTCTACGATTCGTTGATTCGTCTCGACGGTGATTAACCACCTTCAGTGCTCATCTCCAATAGTGTTTAGAAGAGGGGTAGGAAGCTTGCAATGAATAGTGGCTGATAGTAAAACTGTTCATTTCCAGTTATCTTCGCCTCCCATACGGTATGAAAACGGGAAAGTTCTGACTCGTTTTTATGCGTTTTGTGCTGTGTAACAGCATTACAAAACGCATATTGTCACGGGGTTGTCTGTGTATGTTTGTCCGCAGCAACTTGTCCGCAACTTTCAACTCGAGAATCACAAAAGCTAGGAAGCCGAAAATTTAGAAGAACGTTCCCCACCCACGTGTGACCCCGCAAATTTAAATCCAGTTCCCCCGCACCCACGGGTAACACGTATGGCCTCGGGAAAGTTTTTTACGGCTAAATTAATATCTCGGGAACCACGGAGTCTAGAAGAGTGAAATTTTAGGATAATGACCCCCTGCTCACGCTCAACCCTGCCCATTCAAATTCAGCCTTCCCGTACCCGCGGGTAACACGTACGGCCCCGTGAAAGTTTTTTATGAGTAAATTAATATCTCGGGAACCACGCTGTTTAGGAGGCTGAAACTTTGGGGTAATGACCCCCTGCCCACGCTTAACTTTGCCTATTCAAATTCAGCGTTCCCGCGCTCTTGAGTATCACCTGCGGCCTCGTGAAAATTTTGGCGGGTAAACTATTAACTCGGGATAAAGATATTCACCCTTCAAGGTTTCGAATCCAACTTTCATGCGCTAGTGCGTAAAATTTTTAACTGTCTTCCAATGTTTGAACTATTTTTGTATAAAGTACAAAGCAGTGAAAATCATTAATAGGGAATCATTCGATGGGCTCAATTGCACAAAACGCATGATCGCACCGGCAATTCTGATGCGCGTTGCTTTTTATTTTTATTCGGACTGTATCTGGCTTGCTGAATAAAGTTACAGGGTTGAGTAACGCTATTTCCCCTATGGATTGTCTAACGCATGCACATGATGCTGCCAAAGACCACT